ATTATTAAAAAAAATTTATTTTAAATGAACGTAATAAAAAAAATCGATGCGTTAATGTTAGACGGTTAGTGAAAACAATCTTGGGGATTGTTTTGACGTGAAGGGCGGATGTGCGCGAGTTTCATATCCCCCCCTCACCCGGCTCAACGATAAACCGTGCAGTCATCTTTTAAATACATATTAAATGAAATTATTGTTTTAAATACTCCCGACTGCTGATCGATATGACGTATATTTAAAACCATCACAGTACTATCACGAGTTAAATTATAATATAATACCACGAAAAGTAACTGATTATTAATTATTAAAGTTGCCAATACAAAGTGAACATACATAAATTGTATTCGACTGTCATGGGACATTTCGACTGCCCGCGGAGCGGTGAGGGGGACAATGCAACATTTGGTTGATTTTCGAATTGCCTCCGTCTAGCTTTCGCTGTCCCTCTCACAATACCGCACCGCGCATAATATATTATCAGAAAAAAATACTGTTTTACATTTATTTAATAATTTTGATTTTTTAATAATTTTGTTTTATAATATGCAATCGCGTTAACGAAAAAAAATTAATATGTTGTCATAAATCTGACGTGTCAATATTAGACGGTTAGTGAAAGCAGCCTTGGGGATTGTTATCAAAACAACACATCAAGTGGAAGGGCGAATGCGAGTCGCACGTTCCCCCCCTTGCCTGGCTCACCGATAAACCGAGCAGTCATCATTTAAATAAATATTAAATAAAATTATTATTTTAAATACTACCGACTGCTGACCGATATGACGTACATATATTTAAAACTATCGCAGTACTATCACGAGTTAAATTGTTAATATATTACCACGAAAAGTAACTGATTATTAATTAAAGTTGCTAATATAAAGTGAATATACAAAAAGTGTACGTAACTTTCGGTCGATTTTCGAATCGCCTCCGCTTTCGGCTGTACCCCTCACTTCATATTAAATACATATATACATATTTGAAATATATATTTTAAATAATAAAATTATTTTAAATACTCCCGACTGTTGACTGGTATAAAAAACATAAAATAAGCTTTGAAAACTTATTTAAAATAAAAATTATCATTTTTATTAAATAGAATAGGTATTTTAAGTCTACATGCCTGACTTAAGGAGAGCTCCCGCTTCCGTTTTAGTTGTCCCTGACGAAGCTTTGCCGTACCAAGCTTGGTTGGAAACCGCGCGTTGCTGCATAGCAATATTTCATCGTCACGTAGAGACTAATTACAAGCTTTGCTTTGAGTGTTATCATAGATGCACGTCTGCTGAGAAAACGAATTACACAGGCATAATACGCCATTCTCTATCTCTCGGAATTAATTACGATTTCGACAATTGCTACACGTGTCACGGTGGCCACGCTAACAGTCAGCCAGTACAGTCTTGTGACCGCTGTCCGAATGCGTTACTTGATTTCGTTCAATATTTAATTCGCTCGGGTAGAAATCCTTACGACGATCCAGGAACTACCATAAATATTGTATCGGAAGAACAGTTTTAATTTTATTCATGTGTCCTCCATCAGGAGCATTTGTTAATAGTAATTTGAATTTAATACCGAACGTGCCACCCCAAGCTTGGATCGACACAGCCCGTTGCTGTACTGAATGGTTCTACTAACATAGAACAAATAATTGGAAAATTTGCACTCCATGCTATTTTGATAAATCTCCCTACGATCAGGAGTCCTATATCAGTACCTCTTTACATTATATTCAGATTGGAGAAACATTTCATAATAATCTATGCGCTATCTGCAATCAAGAATACGTACGAATTTCTTTAATTAACTTTTGTAATATTTGTCCCCCGAGTCTTAACGGTTTTATTCAGTATCTAATTCATTCGGGAGATACTCCATGTAGTGATAACGAACCAACTTATTTTTTCATTTCAAGAATAAGACATCAGAATATACCTGCTGGTTAGTTATTAAAAGAAGTAAACAAAAATTATCGGATTTTTCTCTTAAACTATCCCACCATAGGCTGTGACAGTCACACGTCCATGAAAAATAAATTGGGACAGACTGTAGCGGCATAACAGTTACATTATTAGACAATCATTTTAATTTAGAAAGGCTCAAATTTTTGGGGTTAATTTTCAAAGGTAACGATATATTTAAATTCGGACGGACAGAAGGACAGAGAAGGAGACGTTTCTTAATTTTTCATTAAAATCATCACTTTTCGACCGCATGTACCTGCAGAACGGCTTGACCGATTTAAAATTTTTTTGTCTCGAATTACTCGTGGCGATGCCGCCTTTCAGGACATATGACGTTCGATTCAAAATTTTTTATGTTTTAGTAGTTATGCACCTCCCAAAAATGGACTTTGGTGGCTTGGGATAAGGGACTTATAGCGTCTCTCAGTTTTTGAACATGGCAGGATACGCTACCGCGTCTCCTGATTGTGCAGAATGTTATATAAACAATAAATAAATAAGAACATAACAGAAAATGGGAATAATTTGATATAGATCTCAACATTCTGTAATTATTCATCATCGTATTGATTGATTTTTCACACAATTTTTAATGGAATTCAAACAGGATCGTGACAATATATATGTAAACTAACTGAAAAATATGGATATTAATTTCTATCGTCATTACATATGTTTGTTTATACAAAAAGTCCTATTTTATCATAAAATCAGCGCATTATGAAATTTTCTAAAGACTGTATCTCGGAAACTATTCATCGAATGAGATTCCAAAAAACCTCATTTTAAAGATAATTTTATAAGCTTCCACATAATTTCTATACATTTTTCACCTCAGACAAATCAGAAGTAAAACAAAAATTTCAATTAAATAAGCATGAAACCACGCACAAGATCTAGTTTGTGATAACTTATTAAAGTCAATAATTTATTGTCAACAACATAAATCTATAAACGTTTCGGTCATAACAATGTGACCATCTTCAGTATATAATTAATTACTATAAAATGAAATAAAACGCTATATCAATAATAATTCGCTTACATCAAACCGCAACGCTAATATATTTATTTCTTCCTGGCAACGTTATCCAAAAGTTTACCTTCGCTTTTGTCTTCATGGTTAAATTTCCTTCTGATTAATACAAAATATTTATTTGACGAAACATCGTTAGCAGACTGTATAATTAAAAATTAAATTAATATAATACTATGAAGAAAAGAAAAATTCGTTAAAAATGAATACAATTCAGAATTACCTATGTTCCGTTTAAAACATTCGTCAATTCTTAAGTGAAGCGTCAGAGAAAAATCGAACATTACAACAATAAAGTCAGAGATGTAATGACCTAAATCTTATGTGTATATGAACTTGAAACTAATACAAATAATAAAAATCAAAACGAAGACTGAGAATTTGCGATATAGTCTTGGTATGTGTTTGTTATGATAGAAAAATACATTTGTGGTAATTTTTCAGTGTCGCTCTGCAAATTTAGACAGTGAATCTGATTCTTAATATGAATCATTTCAGAAATTGTTCTTTTAAAATATACGGGTTCACTGTCCAAAATTGCAGTGTTATCCCAATCTATGTCATGTTTACAATTTAATTGATGTTTGCTTACGACGGAATTATTATTAGATTTCTTCAAATCTTCCCTGTGTTCCTTCAATCGAGTTCTAAGCCTTCTTTTCGTTTGTCCGACATAAGACATATCACAGTCCTTACAGTTAATCTTATAGACAACGTTAGTGTTATCAAACTTATTTAGTTTATCTTTTCCTATTTTAATGATTCCACCAAGATTATTAATCGGTTTGTAGGCAATGTTCGGATCATTCCCGGCCTCGAGTCTGTTGATTACCGCGGCGCGTGGAGCGCGGAAACGGAGAGGCGCGTGCGGCGCGTGATTGCGCATGCGTGTGAGTTTGAATCGACGGGCTTCGAAAGAGGCGGTAGGCGTGAACAGTGACGAACGATCAGTTGATAAGCGAAGTCAGATTACGGCGTTTTCCCTTAAAACGAGATTTCGACATGCTTCTTTTGCCGAGTTGTTCGCGAACAAACTGCGCCTAATTGAATCGTCTGGCGACGGTGTTCGTGTGCGGAACCCAAGTTCTGAAGATTTGGTGAACAAGAATTGTGGGAGGTGGACCACGTGCGAGAAAGTTCCGCGTGCCGCCTCCACGGACTGCATCTCACGCGGCGGGCTTCGTGTACCGCTCGTAGCTCAGGTGCTGGTTCCCTCGAGACGTCGAGGCACCCTGCGGCTTTGGACAGATGCACCTACCTTCACTGTCACTAAAAACTGTGGCCTTATCGGCAAATTACGGGAGCTCCCTAGCGAACGAAAGGATCCTATCGGCGGTAAATTCTAACGCGTGCGGACTTCTATCTCCTTCCGTTTCTTTGAGTTTCTTTTAAGTGTATTTTTTGTGGTTGTTGAATAAAGGATCCACTTGCCCCGGCTTTTCTCTCTGCTCCGTGAGAGTTTTTATGCCTAGGCAAGGGTGTATTTTCACCGCGAATCGGAGTGTTGAATTGTTTACTAGCCCAGTCCTCACTCATTCCCGATTGTTCTCTAAGTTTCCTTTTTTTTGCTTAACGACCTAGTACTAATTTGTTCTTGGTGCCCCGGGTGAGGAATGAGTGATTGGCTTGGCGGGTGATTCAGAATTTTTCACTCGAGGAGTACGCCATTTTGTACCTCGTGCGGGTCGCGATCGTGGCGACTCGGCCGTTCGCGGTTTGCGTCGGACTCGTTGTTATCGTGTTACGTCATCGGACTCGTCGCGACTCGGTTGCTCTCGGGTCGTGTCGCGTCGGCTTCGTGTGGCCGCGGAGAGCGGCATCGGTATCGATCCACGGCTAACGGTTTTTCCTGCGTAAACCTAGCCGTTTACTTGTATCGCCGCATCGGCATTTAAGCGTGCATAATTTCTGATAAATAGGACCGCATTGAATTAGGTGCTTTAATTCGTTCTTTGCGATATTACCGGTTTTCATTTGCATTTGACAGCATGGCGCCCGTAACGTTAAAAAAGTTTTTTAACGCGTTGCAACGCGCGCGCGAAAGCGAAATCGACGGTATACGTGAACGGTTGATAAGTAAACCGCGTGCGTCGATTACGAAAGGCATTGTACAGTCACGGCTCGAGGCTTTGGGGGCGGTTTGGAGCGAGGTACGCAAAACTCATTCCGAGATTATTGTCAGGGATGATGCCGGATCTGATGCTTACGTTGTAGACGATTGGTTCAAGCGTATTCAAGGCGTTTACGAGAACGCTGTCGATGAGTGCTTGACTCTTTTACCCCAATTCGAGATGGTCGCGGGAAGTAGAATGTCGGGAGCAGATTCCGCGAGTGTTTCGGATATGGGTACACCTAGTGTCGCGAAGCTCCCGCGCATTCCTTTACCGACTTTTTCGGGTAAATACGAAGATTGGGATAGTTTCTGCGATCTCTTCACTACGCTGGTTCTTGACGCTCCTCGTTTAGCGGATGCGACTAAGTTGCAGTATCTCAAATCGTGTTTGACGGGTAGCGCGGCGGAGCTTATTAAAGATGTCGCTAGCACTAGCGCGAACTATGCTAGTACGTAGTATAAAGCACTCAAGGCGCGATATTATAATCCTCGCTTGATTATTCATAAATTATTGACGGCTCTCATGGAAATTCCCCATTTACGGAAAGAATCGGCTTCTGAGTTGCTCTCCTTCGTCGATGAGGCTCAGCGCATTGTCCGTGCATTGACAAATCTTAAGTTACCGGTGGAGCATTGGGATATCTGGTTGGTATTTGTCCTATCTGAGCGTTTAGATGCAGAATCCAGAAAATTGTGGGAGGCGGAACTTAGCGGGAGGGATTCAGTGCTAGTTGCGGGCGAAGGTTCGTCGAACACGGATTCCTCGAAGTCGTTACCCAAGTTTTCGGATCTCGTCGCGTTTTTGGAGAAAAGAACGCAGGCCCTGGGCATGATACACTCCGAGCGTAGAGCAGAGAAGAGGCCTGCTCCTGGTTCCTGTGTAGGGTCTCAATCGCGCAAGGTATTTCATGCCAGTGCTCATCGCCCATCGAAACCCGGGCTTACTAAATGTCCCCTTTGATCGGCGACACATCCTCTCGGAAAGTGCTTTAAGTTCAAGGACAAACTCCCTCAGGAGCGGATAGCTGCTGTGAAGCGCTTGAATGCCTGTTTTAATTGCCTTGGACAGCATCGAGTTAATGCTTGCCCTTCTTCTGGACGCTGCTCTATTTGCCGTCGTGCAGCCTGAGTGCCGCTTGGTGCTTTCAAATGGAGGAGAGTGTGATGCTTCTGTTGACAAATAGAGCAGCATCCAGAAGAATGGCAAGCGTTAACTCGATGCTGTCCAAGGCAATTGAAACAGTATACAGACACGTATACAGACATGCATACAGACACGGCGACATTCCCGGCCTGTCCCGTTCATACACGATAGAGTACTGCACGCGCACGACAAGATGGTGTCTAAGGCAGGAACAGTAACTGTTTAGACAGTAGAGAGTACTGCGCACGCATGACTAGGTACTTTTTGTTACGTTCATGCTTTAGACAGCACTGCTTGCTGCGTAAACACGACGCATCACTTTCTAGACAGGACAGAGTCCTGCGTAAAAGGGACTGGTTACTGTTTTAACGGCCGTTTTTTCATAGACAGTAACCAGTGCTGTCTACGAAAGTAGCCTTTCCTGTTTCGCCCTTTCCGTGTAAGTGTACCCATATCCGAAACACTCGCGGAATCTGCTCCCGACATTCTACTTCCCGCGACCATCTCGAATTGGGGTAAAAGAGTCAAGCACTCATCGACAGCGTTCTCGTAAACGCCTTGAATACGCTTGAACCAATCGTCTACAACGTAAGCATCAGATCCGGCATCATCCCTGACAATAATCTCGGAATGAGTTTTGCGTACCTCGCTCCAAACCGCCCCCAAAGCCTCGAGCCGTGACTGTACAATGCCTTTCGTAATCGACGCACGCGGTTTACTTATCAACCGTTCACGTATACCGTCGATTTCGCTTTCGCGCGCGCGTTGCAACGCGTTAAAAAACTTTTTTAACGTTACGGGCGCCATGCTGTCAAATGCAAATGAAAATCGGTAATATCGCAAAGAACGAATTAAAGCACCTAATTCAATGCGGTCCTATTTATCAGAAATTATGCACGCTTAAATGCCGATGCGGCGATACAAGTAAACGGCTAGGTTTACGCAGGAAAAACCGTTAGCCGTGGATCGATACCGATGCCGCTCTCCGCGGCCACACGAAGCCGACGCGACACGACCCGAGAGCAACCGAGTCGCGACGAGTCCGATGACGTAACACGATAACAACGAGTCCGACGCAAACCGCGAACGGCCGAGTCGCCACGATCGCGACCCGCACGAGGTACAAAATGGCGTACTCCTCGAGTGAAAAATTCTGAATCACCCGCCAAGCCAATCACTCATTCCTCACCCGGGGCACCAAGAACAAATTAGTACTAGGTCGTTAAGCAAAAAAAAGGAAACTTAGAGAACAATCGGGAATGAGTGAGGACTGGGCTAGTAAACAATTCAACACTCCGATTCGCGGTGAAAATACACCCTTGCCTAGGCATAAAAACTCTCACGGAGCAGAGAGAAAAGCCGGGGCAAGTGGATCCTTTATTCAACAACCACAAAAAATACACTTAAAAGAAACTCAAAGAAACGGAAGGAGATAGAAGTCCGCACGCGTTAGAATTTACCGCCGATAGGATCCTTTCGTTCGCTAGGGAGCTCCCGTAATTTGCCGATAAGGCCACAGTTTTTGGTGACAGTGAAGGTAGGTGCATCTGTCCAAAGCCGCAGGGTGCCTCGACGTCTCGAGGGAACCAGCACCTGAGCTACGAGCGGTACACGAAGCCCGCCGCGTGAGATGCAGCCCGTGGAGGCGGCACGCGGAACTTTCTCGCACGTGGTCCACCTCCCACAATTCTTGTTCACCAAATCTTCAGAACTTGGGTTCCGCACACGAACACCGTCGCCAGACGATTCAATTAGGCGCAGTTTGTTCGCGAACAACTCGGCAAAAGAAGCATGTCGAAATCTCGTTTTAAGGGAAAACGCCGTAATCTGACTTCGCTTATCAACTGATCGTTCGTCACTGTTCACGCCTACCGCCTCTTTCGAAGCCCGTCGATTCAAACTCACACGCATGCGCAATCACGCGCCGCACGCGCCTCTCCGTTTCCGCGCTCCACGCGCCGCGGTAATCAACAGACTCGAGGCCGGGAATGATCCGAACATTGCCTACAAACCGATTAATAATCTTGGTGGAATCATTAAAATAGGAAAAGATAAACTAAATAAGTTTGATAACACTAACGTTGTCTATAAGATTAACTGTAAGGACTGTGATATGTCTTATGTCGGACAAACGAAAAGAAGGCTTAGAACTCGATTGAAGGAACACAGGGAAGATTTGAAGAAATCTAATAATAATTCCGTCGTAAGCAAACATCAATTAAATTGTAAACATGACATAGATTGGGATAACACTGCAATTTTGGACAGTGAACCCGTATATTTTAAAAGAACAATTTCTGAAATGATTCATATTAAGAATCAGATTCACTGTCTAAATTTGCAGAGCGACACTGAAAAATTACCACAAATGTATTTTTCTATCATAACAAACACATACCAAGACTATATCGCAAATTCTCAGTCTTCGTTTTGATTTTTATTATTTGTATTAGTTTCAAGTTCATATACACATAAGATTTAGGTCATTACATCTCTGACTTTATTGTTGTAATGTTCGATTTTTCTCTGACGCTTCACTTAAGAATTGACGAATGTTTTAAACGGAACATAGGTAATTCTGAATTGTATTCATTTTTAACGAATTTTTCTTTTCTTCATAGTATTATATTAATTTAATTTTTAATTATACAGTCTGCTAACGATGTTTCGTCAAATAAATATTTTGTATTAATCAGAAGGAAATTTAACCATGAAGACAAAAGCGAAGGTAAACTTTTGGATAACGTTGCCAGGAAGAAATAAATATATTAGCGTTGCGGTTTGATGTAAGCGAATTATTATTGATATAGCGTTTTATTTCATTTTATAGTAATTAATTATATACTGAAGATGGTCACATTGTTATGACCGAAACGTTTATAGATTTATGTTGTTGACAATAAATTATTGACTTTAATAAGTTATCACAAACTAGATCTTGTGCGTGGTTTCATGCTTATTTAATTGAAATTTTTGTTTTGATTCGAACCACATTTTGTATAAGTCTTATATATTTTATTTACATCAGAAGTAAAAATTATTTACGAAAATATACTCAGAAACACGTATGATAAAGATTTTTCAGCTGTATCTCAGTAATTGGTTGCGTTCAGCAGAGAATGCGGCTTTGCAACTGTTGTAAAATTCTTTTCTTATGATTGGTCTTGCCCTTATTTCCTCATTAGATCTAAATGTATAAGCCGATTGGCTTATACTTTAGATCACGTCCGACGTTGAATCATATTCAAGAATTTTACAACAGTTGCAAAGCTGCTTTTTCTGCTGAACGCAGCCATTATTAGCCGTATACAAACCATTAGAAAACCAAAATGCAGGGAATTTAATAATCTTTCATTTTGATAATAACTATTTTTGGCGTAGAAATAGCCGTATATAAGATATTTCCGATACATTAACGCGCGCGCGCGCGCAAGGAACATTCTCATTTTCAAAATATTCGCAAGTCAAAATGCCTCGCGAAGACAACAAATTTACATAACGCTCGAAAATAAGAGGTCACTTAAAAAACTCTATATCGAGAACTATTGGTTGTACGAAGTACGACCATTAGAGAATTTTGTAGAGAATTTTATTATCTTTCTTTTATTATAGACCTACTTTGGTAGTAAAACTCGATAAGAAAGAAGATAACCGCGAAAAACCGAAATTTTAACCCTTCTATGCTCGATAAAAGGCTTATCATATAAGCTAACAGAAAAGGGAACTTTTCAGACATCATTTCTCTCGCCTAAATGAAGATATTTAACAATTTATAGCTTCGTCGGAATTTTTTCATTTTTACGCCCTTTTTGTTCTAAAGTGACTGGACTATTATGACAAATTTTCGTTTCGCAAAAACGTAAAGTTGACACCCCAAAATTTCAAATCATGTTTTTCTGCATTTAATTATCAGAACACTTTTCGAAACCTATCAGGAACTATAGAACTCTTTGGAGAAGAGCCAGAACTCTATTTATAACATCCAAATTTTGACAATGGTGTGCCAGCTTCACAGAGGTGAGGTCACTCAGGATCATAACCTTGACAACATATGTTAAGATCAAGGTCATCGGAATGGGGTTCCCTATTCTGTATATTTCCAAATTTTTTAATTTTAATTTATCATTGAGCCGAATAGCCTATATCTAATATTTTCGTTTTCACGAAATATAATTCTATATGATTGAATTCAATATAATAATTTTGAACCACAATTAATATACGATATCAATTTGCTAAAATCACAGTGTCGACTAAGAGAACAGTATATCTGATACAGAGATTCAAATATATAATTAAGTAAGTAATCTTAT